TAATTTTAAGAACAGATATGTAAATAGAGAACTGATTATGCTTCTTGTTCTAAAATGGCCTTTAATTATGCAGAATGAGAATGTTGTTTTATATTATTTAATGCTGGGGGGGGGTTTGAGAGTGAGGGGGGAGGAAATGGAGAAGACAAAGAAGAGACCCCTAAGTAGTTGTAGCAGGAAGGGAACTTTGCTCCCACGGTCCCTTGATAGTTGTTGCCAATCGATGATTCCTGCCTGATGGGCATAGTTATGTGAGGACGGCCTAGTTAGTAATTTGTGTCAAGGCAAGTATATTATATTTCTAAGGCTCACCAATTTTCCTCTCTCTAAAGTAATCAGGAAGTGAAATCTGTTGTAAAATAATGAACACTGCTCTCTCAGCACAGTGAGAACATCTTTTCAAAACTTGGGAAATAGAGTTGAGTTAGTTTAACAGATGTCAGGGATGGGGAGGAGTGGTCATTGTAGGACCTCAATGGGCAAGCTCTGGGATTCCTTTCTGAAATGGAAATGTTTTTGTTTCCTAAAGGTTTCAGACAAGGTGGGCAATATGATCAAAGTTATTTAAGGAATATTAACCTGGCTGGTGATGTGGCAAGAAGGAGTTAGAAGGGAAAGCTCTGAAGAGAAGCAGTGCAGTATAGTGTCCTAAACAGCAAAACAGAATGTGAAAAAAATGGCAAACGATGTCAGATCCAGTAGGAGAATGGAAGGACCAAACAGGCCTTGGATTTGGAAATAAAGCTAAAAGACAGCAGCCTGGTGTGAGTAAGAGGCAGCGATTGGAAGGAATACCGAGTGAAGGTGCCAGAGAATTAACATGGTCACTACTGTAGGCGGGATAGCATTTAATACCCTGGAAGTCCTGTTTTCATGATGAGAAAAATGTCATTGTCTCTGCTAGGCTCTCAGGCTTTCTACTTAAAAGCTTTCATTTCTCTCCGAGGCTCTCAGTTCTATGGGGTGCTGGGCGGGACTTGCCTGATGTCCTAAGTGTGGTTTATTCAGCTTTTATCACCATCTCCATACCGAATGCCAGCTTTAACCAACCTGAGGCGCAGGCCTTGTTGGTGAGCGGAAGGGATGCCCTTTATTCTCTGCCTTGCCAATCCAGTTCTTCTCTAAATGTAGGCATCAGACCCTGTCAAAGTGTGGAAGCCTTCCTACGCTCAGGGACAAGAATTTCCTCTCTGCCCTTCCCTTCCCATCCGCAGCAGTCTTAGTTTTCTTTCCTATTTTTCCAGTTTAGCATTCAAGGACCCATGCTAAACCCCTTCCGTTCTCCGGTGTCTCCCTCCCTGCCCCTAGCTGGAGCATCTCCCCAGTTTTCTCATAAGTGCCTTTCTCTAACTCGTCTCTGGGTACCTTTGGTTTCCCCAGTAATCATCTTGGCAAGTCTAACAGGTGATTGGGAGATGAGTGTGTGGTACTGATCTTCAGCTCCAGTTAACCCTGTCCAGGCAGCCTGTCTTAAAACCCTTGGCTTTGATCCCTAAAGATTACAATTGGTTGTCCTAAAACTCAGCTCCAGTGAAGCCATTATCTGCAGGGCTGGCAAAAAGTAAATGAGGTACTAGTTGACATTTGAACATATTTAACTATACAGACGTATTTAGTCTCTTCAAAAATGATCACCTCCAACTGGCATCACATAAGTTGCCGTGTTAGCCTGGAACAGTGGGACATCCCTGCTATCTGCCTTTGCCAAGATCCGGTGAGTCCTCTTCTCTTGCTTCTTCTACTGGAGGCAACCTGGATAACTGAGAATTTTGTTCTGATTTTTTTACTTTTCCAGAGTCTTAAGAAAATTTGGAAGTCATTTAAGGTCTTTTTATAATCCTCCAAGCCTGTGTTTCCTAGGTAACATTTTAGTGTCTCATTTTGTACTTATGTACATATACATCATACAATCATTGACTGATTTTAGTCTTTTTTGACCTGAATTGATTAAAGTAATATTTTTTTTTCCAAATAAAAGTGGTATTAAACTGAAAGTTGATTACTTACATTCTGACTTGAGTTCCTTTTAAAATACTTTACTAAATGTTTAAAAACCGGAGGGAAATATTTAGAAGACCCTGAATTGTCTGGCTTTGCTTCTTCAAGTCCTTTGTGATTTGTATAACCCAAGACTACCAATGAATTTATCAGGAAAGTAAGTTTAATTAAAATGTCAGTTTCCTACATGTAATTACTTGTTTCAGAGTGTGAAGGATTATTTCAGGTAGCATTTTATGAAACCCTGGAGGGCACTATTATGAAATTCCCATAGCAAGGGAAAGAATGTGATGGATTTGACAGAGCTGTTTGTGGAGTTTTGCATGAAAATGTCACATCTCATGCAGGTGTTCAGTATGTGTCTTCCTGGAACTGCCTTTGGATGCTGTCATATTTCAAACTGAACTGGCTAAAATGGTCACGGGAAGGTCTCATATACGTAGTCAGAGACTGTCAGCTCATGAAAAAAATGAGCCATAATTGAATCCAAGAGTAAAACACTCTTCATGATCTCAGTAGAATGCTGGCATGCGAGAACCGAAGTCAGTCTGTTTCCTCATGCATGAGTCTGTGCTCCATTGATGGGGATAAGAAATGTTCCGTTTATGGACATGAAGGATAGGCTCAGTGTCATCTAGCACTGGGGACGAGGCATGGCTGCAAGATTTCCTATAGCTCAGGAGGCAATCTGCCAGAATTAGAGTTTTATCACATGTAGATACTTACTGGAATGGTTACTCTTTGCCATTCCATTGTTCTAGAACAGTGTTTCCCAAACTTCTCTCATGATGAGAATCACCTGGTGGAGTTGTTAAAATACAGATTCCTGAATCCCAACTAAGAAGTGCAAAACTAGAATTTTTGGGAACATATAGGTTAAGTATACAATTTTAGGTTAAGTATACAATACATATAGGTTAAGTATACAATTTTACCTATATGTTCCCAAAAATTCTAGTTTTGCACTTCTTAGTTGGGATTCAGGAATCTGTAATTTAACAACTCCACCAGGTGATTCTCATCATGAGAGAAGTTTGGGAAACACTGTTCTAGAAGATATCTTTACATTTCCCCAAGTCTGTAAGATAGTTTAGATTTGCTAACATCTCTCTCTTTATTATCTGTACTTTAATAAGTTTTTCAAACCCCTTTGGTCCTAAGTCATCTTCCCTAATGTGAGGGGACTGAACTGGCACTAAAAATGTATGTTTCTACTCTGATGGAGGAAGTAATCTTTTTTACTGTGGTAAAAAGTACATAACTTGAAGTTTACCTTTTCAATCATTTTAAGGAGTATAGTTCATGGTGATTAAGTACATTCACACTATCATGATTCAGAAATATTTTACAATGGAGGAAGCCAAAAGATATGTAAGAATTCACATAGAAATTTTGTGTCAGAAGCTGTGCTGGTTCCCAAAATACATACGTATAGGAGATATTTTGTGTCTGGGTAAAAATTTTATGATTATGTGGTTTTTTAGTGACTATAATAAAGGATAATTAGGAAAATACAGTGGAATTCTCTTTGTATTGTATGTGGCTGTATTCAACAGTTCACAAAATACATACATGGTTATACACAGCAAAATTCATCTTTAACATTCTTAGGTTTAATAGTCATGCTTCAGGTAGTTTCAAGCAGCCCTGGGGGCCTTTCCTGTGTTTCTGATTTTGCTGTGGTACCGACATGAGGCTGCTTTCAGGGCATGGGCCCAGCAAGCCGCCCGCACCTGCAATTCAGAGGCTATTTGGTTTTTCACGTGTTCTCAGAACAGTACATCTCCAATAGCAAAAAGGTTTTGGGCCTTGGGATTAAAAATACTCTGTGAAAAGAGCTAACTGTGGAAATGATGAGGTTTAAGAAAACGGTGGTTTTTATATAGAAAAGGAATGCCTGTTTCAGAGCTACCGGTCTTCCCAGAAAGTCCTTTCTTGGCAGCTGAAGCTACACATAGAGGAGTGGGCTGTGGACCGAGCGCCTCTTCTGTGCTTTCCTGAGCATATGCTTCTAGAGGAGGCAGCAACCCTCCCTGTTTAAAGGGACTAAGAATATTCTCCTTCTCTTAAGAAACATGGCTTATCCTTAGGACCTTCTGTAATAATTTTCTGTTGCTGCACAGTTACCACAAACTTAGCAGCTAAAAACATCTTACAATGTCCATGGATCGGGAGTTCAGACAGTACAAGCTGGTTTTTGTCCAGCGCCCCACAAGGCCTTCATCAAGGTCTTGATTGGAGTTGCATTTCTTTCAAGAGCTTAGATCCTCTTACAAATAAATGTATTAAGCAGAAATAGCTTATTGGAAATGTAGTTCATTTGGAGAGGATAATTAAGACCCTACCATCTTTGTGTAAACAATATGTTAATTTCCTTTAGAGACTAAACATCAGGGAAAGACAGGAATAATCAGGAAAGAGTAGAGAAAATGAAGAACTGTGGAAAGTGGTACCTAGATAAACTTCACTTCTTAAACAACATGTCTTATTGCTTTCGACATGGTGAAACACACAACCTGGATAGTATAATTTTTGGAGTACATTGATAAAATAACACCAAGATATCTCTGAATTAATTACTTAATTCATATTTCATCTTTTAAAAAATGAGAAAACGTATGCAAAGGTGTCATAATAATCATGAAGATATATATCTGAAATCAAACAATGTTAAAAAGAATAATTTTATCAGTTTCTGGGTACACAATATACATTTAATAGCTTCCCTATGTATTAGATTGCTAGCTTTTTATTTTTATTATTTCTCAATAGCCTGTTTGATTTTAATGTGTTGTCATTCATATATTCATGATATTTTTATGTCCTCATTTCTCACTATGTAAAATAAAATAGTATTTAAATAGTTTATTATCTATTTTAAATATTGTACTATGATACCTGTTATCTACTTTAAATATTGTTCTATGATACTCTACTCTGAGAATGAATGTAATGTTTACTTTTATTCATCTTTCTTTTTTTTTTTCTTTTTATCTCATTAGCTAAGGAACCTTTCCAGCTTGGACCTACGTCATATCACTGAACTGGATAATGAAACCGTGATGGAAATTGTCAAGAGGTGCAAAAATCTTAGCTCTCTCAATCTCTGTCTGAACTGGATCATAAATGACAGGTAACAAATGTAATATCTTCAAAACAGTTTTCCAAAAGAAAATATGTGTTCTACGTACCAAATACTAATTATCATTATAACAAGGCATGTCAACTTTAAGGAAAATTTAAGGTAGCCATACCTTTTCAAGTAGATGTTTAAGTTTTGAGAACCTAGCTCTTTATCTTTAATTTATCCACTGTGTGTATTTGCAACACGATTTTTATATGCTAAGTTTGCCTAAACAGTTGTAACAACAGAAGTATGTTTAATTTTTTTCTTTGTCACCCATCCAGGATATATTGCTTTTTGTTAACTTTAATAAATTTGCTCACTTATCAAGGAAAATAATTCTTAGAAATTGTTTCAGACATTATACACACAGATCCTTTCTCAAGGATAAGATTTTGTTCTTTGTATATATACATATAATTTTTAAAGTGGAGGTCGTGTGATGGACATAGAGTAAAAAATGTGTATAACTGGAATTTTTTTTAATATAAAACTATATTTCTTTGAAACGTTGCATGAAGGGAAAAAAGATTCAAGAACCCTTGATTGTAGGCTTTTTTTAAATAATGAAAACAACTGCAAAGTATTTAACTACTGTACCATTACTGTTAGTTTAGGTAGGCTCTTATATACATAGGCACAAAACAGGTTTTTGCCCAGTAACTTTTCCAGACTAAAGTTTCTTTTAAAGATAGACCACCAAAAATATTTTGCTTTCAAAACAGAAAGCACAATTTCAGCTAAAATTAGAACCTACTTAGATTTAAGTATCTTTTCACAGATAGCAATGATAATTTAAGTTTGTGTCTGATAATGCTTTAATTTTAAGACACTTTCCCCTTCCACTTTAAAAAAAATAAAATAATGTAAGTTTCACCTCCCTCCCCTTTTAATTTCCTTCTATACTTTAAAGATAATATTGCACAGGATCTGTTATCCTGTGGTTTAGGTGTTTACCATAAGTTCAATATTGAGATAAACTTTCTAGTAATGCATCAGATTAAAAGGAGAAAACTGTTTCTGCAACAAAATGATTATGAAAATGATTGTCTTTTATTCCACAGCAGTTTTTGGTGTATACCTGCTGTGTAGCCAACTCAGGTACTTGGAGAGTAAATAAGATAATAATATTCAGCCCCCAAAATGATTATATGGTTATCTCAGAACCATTGTATTATACTATAAACAGCTTGCTTAGATTTGTACCATCAAAGCAAATATATTTCCAATCCGCAAGCCTTCTTAAAAAACTTAGTTTTTACAAAGGAAACCATTCTCCCTTAGGCTCCATCTACCAAACCTCTTTCCGTTTCAGTCAGTTTTTCCTACATAGCTGTAATGGTTATTTGGTATTTGATCCTACATATATGTGCTGTAGAGATATAGTTTCAGGGAATGAAAGTGTTTTTATGTTTTTAATGGAAAAGTTTGGATTAATTGAGAAAACATGCATTTTAATGAGGCTGAGCAGTAGATTTTAAAGATCAGACTCTTAGGTTTTAATTACACTGCTCCCACTTACCCTGTGTACTATAATCAAAGTTTCGAACATTCAAACCCACTTTGCGGTATCATCTAAATTACTCATCTCATTGTTCTTGCCATACTCTCTCACTAAGCTAAGTAATAATTGTAATTATATTGGCATAAATCTAGGACTTCCCATCAGATTTAATTATAATTTTAGCACTTAGCTCAGATGGGTTAGTAACCTTTCATATAGAGGGCACTGGGATGCACTAATGCATTTAGCCTATCAATTAGCATCTCTTTTGCATCTGTTCATTATTACCTTATAGTAAATCAGAGGCATTTATGAACCCCTACTAAATACTTGGTACTGTGTGTGTCTGTGAGCACTGAGTCCCTGCTGCTCTCATGGTTGCTCTCTAGGTGGCAAAAGGCATAATGAGATAATAGTGAACCATATATGGAGAAAGGGGAGAACAGTAACTTTATTACCCAGGTAATTAATAAGCACTTTGCCCATGTCCTCATTTAATCTTTCAACAGCTTTTGTTATGGTATTCCTATTCAATGAAGAGGATTTGCTTGACTTTTCTTTGGCTTTTCTGATGAATGTATTTTTCTGTCACTACTGCCTTAAAAACTGGTGAAGACAAATAAGAAAAAGCAAAATAGCTAATGAGTCTGTATTTCATTTCATAGTTGGGATTCACACACAAGTGATACTTACATGTAAAATTTTTAGTTTTTTTAAAAACAATCTCATTTTCTCTCATAATTAAAGTATGATAGAACCTTTTGATAATATGTTATACAGTATATATAGTCTATGTAAAAAGGATCTATGTTTAATGCTTTAATAAAGGATTCCTTTGATACTCTTCTCAGATATTAGATATAAGTTTTATCCTGGATTTAACAGTTTTTAAGACATTCTTTTGAAGTTCAAAAACTTTAAATATGTAGTAATTGACGGTCTTGACTATTCGGCTCCTGGTGCCTTTTAGCATTTTCAGGTTCTTGAATTGATCTGTGTGACTAGACATGCTGTTCTTTATCTTTGTTTTTCTAAAAGTACTTTCTGTGTGTTGAGAGTTAAACAGCATGATATTTTCTTGTATTCAGAAGGATGGTCTAGTAGTCATTTGACATTTACCATTGCTTTTAAATACAAATACACTCTAAGTGGTTTATAAAAAGAAGACAATGACTATTTCTACCAGTGATTTAAATTAAACATCTGGTTTTTATGTCTCCTCTCTTCTCTCTGCCTCCAAGTTTATTGAAATGTTTATTTGTATTTGATATAACTCTTTTATTATTTCACATCCAATTTGGTTTTCATTGTTTTGGCACAGAGTCAAAAGCAGCATGCTTTGGATGTAAAAAAACTGATGTGTGAAAAAATTGAATGGTTCTGAGTACTTTTATAGTGATATGCTTATAATGGCTCTTTTGTTCTCTTTTGCTAATAAGAAGTAAGTGAAATCTAATTGATTTTAATAGATCTTTACAAAATATATTTTTAATATTTAAATGGGCTATTAAAGAGGGAATTAATCTTCCCATTTTCAGTTTTTAACATTAGTCCTGAAAACAAAGTTCAATTATATGATATATATGCCATTATCAAATACATGATTCTTCCATTGACAGTAGATCACCCTTTCTTATGAATTAAGACTGGAGGATAACAATATAAGAAAATTGAGCCCAAGCCAGTTTGGCTCAGTGGATAGAGCGTCGGTCTATGGACAGAGTGGTCCCAGGTTTGATTCCAGTCAAGGGCATGTACATTGGTTGCGGGCACATCTCCGGTGGGGGTGGGGGGTGTGCAGGAGGCAGCTGGTCGATGTTTCTCATCGACGTTTCTAGCTCTCTATCTACCTTCCTCTCTGTAAAAAAATCAATAAAAATATATTAAAAAAAAAGAAAATTGAAAGATTCTCAAATACCCATAAGTTAAAGTCACAAACCATAACACAAGTCAAGCTGGTTGTTAAAGTAAATTATGTTTCCAAGTATTTGATCTTGCCTAGCTAGAGATTTTTGCTTTGTATTTGCAAATTTTTTTTTTAAAAAAGTTACATTTATTGAACATTCTTTAAGGAGTTAATTTGCTGTGCGAATCTTGTGTTTCTGTAAAGGAGACTATGGCATCAGTGGGCACGCTAAATAATTTTAAATCTTAGATTGTTCTGACAAGTTTCTTTCAAGTATAAAATAACATTTGCAATATGTTGGTATTTCACTTTATGTATACTAGTGTTTAAAATACTAACTATAGATATTTTCTCTTTAAATAAAAGTTTTAAGATCACTTGAAGTTGCAAACTTGTGGGCCATAGCTGAGTTCAGTCCACAGAGCTATTTTGTTTGGCCTATATGATATTTTAAAAATTGAATTATTTGCCAATACTTTAAACATTGGCATAGTTCATATGAAAATTGTGAATTTCAGCCTTCTCTTGGAAAAGTTGCATGTCTAGCAACATTGGACCACATTTCCTCATGTCAACCATTTTCCCAGGATGAGGAATGTGCTGTTCTCTTTGGCCATTCTCCATTTCTTCACCATTCCAGCATGATCTATTATTTCATATTATCTGCCTGTCTCCACCCAATCTAATATTCTCCTTTATTAACATTCAGATTGTAGAGATTTTTAGGAATTTCTCATTTTAAATTGAATGGGTTTTAAGATTGAGTCTGATAAAATATATTCAGAACTAATGGAGTTAATCAGTCTACCTAAATTGTTTCTCCATGATTTCAGGCATCAGAACTTTGGCCAACAGGTGCAAGTTACAGGGGAAAACAGGACTCAGCTTAAAATAAGTTAAAACCTTTATTTTCATTGACTGCCTTCCAAAAAAGGAAAACTCACTCCCACTTAGGGTTCAAACAAGAGTGTTATAAAAGAAGTTTCCTGAATTATAAAGGAAGTTGAACTACTTTACTGCACTCCTTCGACTTTCAAGCCCGTGATTTAAAATAAATTTATTTGCAGTGCTTAGTATTTAACTCGTGATTCCTGTGTTTATAATATTAAGAAAAATCTGAATACTATTCTTTCTCTTTTGCTTTCCCGTGTAGCCCTCTTTAGCCTTTTAGAAATACTCAGGTTGAGTATGGAAAGTGACAGGTTCCTCACCACCCCTTTTAGGGAACTGACAGCACCCTGGCTCACGTAAAACTCAAGGTGGCATACTATAAAGTCTTTTCTAACTCCCTTGATCTTCTCTGGGTGTTTATTCTGTTTCTTCTTTCAAATTTCCATCGATTCAATAAAAAACGGTGACATTTAGAAATAAAGTTCAGGGAGGATTTGAGCAGGTGTTGGTGATATCAAGTGTTTGCTGAGTGCCCATTGTGTTTTATTTCCAGGAATTGTTTTTGAACATATGCTATATATTGCATTTATAAGTGTTTGAAGACCGGGTGGATAATCTACCATCTTCCTGTGAATGTCATGTCACAGTGGACTTCAAATTTTATTTCATTTCAATCCCCTAATATTACTTAATTCTCCTAGAGACTGA